TACCTGTGATAAAGGTGGCACTGCAGTTGCTGGACTGGGCGGCGGCCCGTGGTCAGTGGTTGATGCTACAGAACTGCCACCTGCTGGTTAAGTGGCTAAAGGATTTGGAGAAGTCCTTAGAGAAGATCACCAAGCCCAACCACAACTTCCGCTTGTGGCTCACCACCAACCCCATTCAGGATTTCCCTATTGGCATACTGCAAAAGTCCCTGAAGGTGAGACACATTTTCTCTTTATATTAAGCAGTTAGTTAGTTTAGTTTCTTTTTTGTACATGGCAGGGTTGACTTTCCAGTAGTGAGCTCAAGATTTTTTTTCAAATAGGTGTTGATATTTTACAAAGCAAGGTGATTTTTTGTACTGTAAAAAAAGATGGTAAAATTGTCAGTGTGTTTACATATGCTTTGATATTGTGTGCAGGTTGTGACAGAACCTCCCAATGGTCTCAAGTTGAACATGAGAGCCACATACTCTAAAATCTCCCATGAGACTTTGACTGCATGCCCACACCCTGCCTTCCGCAGCCTGGTGTATGTGTTGACTTTCTTCCATGCTGTGGTGCAAGAGAGACGCAAATACGGCAAGATTGGCTGGAATGTCTCTTATGACTTCAACGAGTCTGACTTCTTCGTGAGTAGCTTGGGAGTCATTTACACCATGTTGCAAATAACTGCTTTTGGTTGGATTTTTAGTCTCTATTTAAATGGTAAAATATTAGTTATGTTTAACTTTTTTAGTGGTTTAAACACTGGTTTTAACTGTGCTTTAAAGGTGTGTATGGAGATCCTGGACACCTACCTGACCAAAGCTCACAACCAAGGAGACAGCAATATTCCCTGGGGAAGTCTTAAATACCTTATTGGGGAGGTTAGTTAACTCAATAAACTGTATGTCTATTAACTTGTAAGCTAATGCTGTAAGTTCACTATGTCTGGATAATGTTTTATAGGTGATGTACGGTGGGCGAGCCATAGATAGCTTCGACCGCAGAATCCTGTCTGTCTACATGGATGAGTACCTTGGAGACTTCCTCTTCTACACCTTTCGGCAATTCCACTTCTTCAACAACAAGGATGTAGATTACAAGGTCCCTCCGAATGGGCCCAAGAGTATATATGCCGGTCAGTTGTTATTTTCATTATTTTAATTATCTTACTTGGAAAAATGTGTATGTTCTGTCATCACTCACAGCTTTAGGCTGTTATATGTTACAGATGAGATTGAGAGCCTGCCACTAGCAAACACAGCAGAGGTACTGGGTCTTCATTCCAACGCAGAGATAGGATACTACACACAGGCAGCTAAAGACATGTGGACTCACCTGATAGACCTGCAGCCTCAGACAGGTATGATTTGGCGTCTTTTATCTCTGTAAGCTCTTAATTTATTTTACAAAAAGAAATTGTCCACCTCCACATTGAGTTCTGAGTGCCAAAGAGAGTTCCTGTAAGTAATACAGCTTTCTTTGCCACCATACTACCAGTGCTTCCTTTTTTATGGCCTTTACAAACTCTTATTCCTTAGGTGAATCTGGTGGGAGCATCAGTAGGGATGAGTACATCAGCCAGGTGGCCCAAGACATTCAGAACAAGCTGCCCACGTTGTTCGACATGGACGTGATCCCTAAAAAGTATGGCACGGACATCTCCCCGACCTCAGTTGTGCTTCTTCAAGAACTAGAGCGCTTCAACAAACTTGTGGTCCGCATGCAGCGCTCTTTGGCCGAGCTGCAGAGGGTGAGAAGGAGGGGCAGAGAACAACAAGATATCGGGACAACAAACAGACCGATGTTGCATTTGCTTTGTGCTTCACACAGCGTTCGATTTCTCTTCTCTCCTCTCTTGCGTCCCCTAGGCCTTGGCTGGTGAGGTGGGTATGAGCAGTGAGTTGGATGAGGTCGCTCGGGCCCTTTTTAATGGTCATATCCCTGCCATTTGGAAAAAGTTGGCACCTGACACTCTTAAGTCCCTCGGCAATTGGATGAGCCATTTCAAGAGGCGTTATGAACAGTACAGCTACTGGGTGAGGACGCGCACACACTATCACAGATAACCTTCTGCATTATTCTGGCATTACGGAGTAGTTACAAGAGATTATATTTTTGTGTTTCTTGTGTCCACCAGGTGGATGAGGGAGAGCCAAAGGTTATGTGGCTATCAGGACTCCATATCCCAGAGTCCTACCTGACTGCTCTCGTCCAAGCTGCATGCAGGAAAAATGGTTGGCCTCTGGATCTTTCCACACTGTACACACAGGTGACCCAGTACTGCAGTGAGGATGAAGTCAGTGACAGACCTGGACAGGGTAATGAAATGACACTCACTGTTTGTAGCATGATTAGTGATAAGTGATGAAGACTGACAGTCTTATTCCCTGCAGGCTGCTTTGTGTCAGGCTTGTATCTGGAAGGAGCAGACTGGGACATGGAGAAGGGTTGCCTAGTAAGGAGTAAACCAAAGGTTCTGGTTGTTGAACTACCAATTCTCAAAGTCATCCCCATAGAGACACGCCGCCTCAGGTTACAGGTGTGGACAACAGGCGCTACAGGCCATAATACAATGCTTAAGCTCAACATTTTGATGTTTTTTCTTAACTGTTGTGTGCTTTTTTTGTGTGTTTTGTACAACAGAATACACTGCGAACACCGGTGTACACCACGTCCCTGCGAAGGAATGCAATGGGTGTGGGTTTGGTGTTTGAGGCAGACCTGTTCACCACCATGCACATCTCCCACTGGGTGCTCCAGGGAGTCTGTCTGTGCCTCAATGCTGACTGAAGATAGCCCTCAGCCTAATTGAGCTGGTTAGCTTTCACACAGTCTGTTCTGACATGTTAATTCATAACAAAAATGCCTGATTTTTTTAAAGAAGATTGTAAAAAAAAAAAAGATTGTACATGTTTTTAAAAAATAAATTGATAGAGACATTGTAAGAAAACAAGATGAGAATTCATTATCTATTGCATAGCTTTCATTATTTTCTCACTAGATGGCAGCACACAACAGTACTGAGCTCTTCACTCTGGGTAGTGGCTCCAGGGATTTCTCTTTAGTGTTTGTTAAAGAGCCAATAGGCTACAGTGGTCAGGATATTCTAGGCCTAAAAGTCTATTATTAGTATAATTATTAAGTTTATCAACGAGTAATTTTTAGCAGTTCATTCATGTTTGATTTTTCTCTTTCTTTAACAAGATATTTCAGAATTCTGCCCATTCTTAAAAAAGGACAGTAGATGCCGAGTATTTCTGCTGAGGTTGTAGGGGGAACTTAAGATGCTGCATACAGTGGAAAATCTACCACTGACCAAAGGCTGCTAAAGTTTTCCACTTTACCCAAGTAGCTTTTCAGCTGCTCTGCAGTATAGGTAGCAGTGTTTGCTTTATTGTAACATTTAACAAACAGATCTAGTGCAGCACTGAGTAATAGAGGCTGCTGAGGTCAGCATGCCAAAGCAGGTGAAGTTTACTCTAAAAATCAGACAGCCCCAGAGGATCTGGCAGCTGGTGTGGCAGTGAGGTCACAGAAACACAGAAATAAAAACTGAAACAGTTTTGAGCCATAATACATTCATCATGCAGTCTGAGTTGTGTGAGTGCAGCTGTGATCAGGGATGTGTTAACTAAACTGTGACTAGATGGAAATCATCACAAGGCAAACAACCAGCAAAATGAAAGTACTTTACTAAAGTCTCTTTCTTTAGAAGTCATGCTTCTCATTACTGTATTGTGTAGCCCAAAAGGACCCCCTCTGAATGGCAGAGGGTAAAGGTTAGACAGCCCCTTCTCAGCTTCAACTGGTACGACTATCATAAAGAGTGAAGATCAGGACATGTTTACGACCAAACACAGGAGGGGAGGAATTGTGTTTCCTTGCTGAAAAGAATGAAAGAATGGTGTGTTGTTTAATGAACCTGCACTTCATATGAGAGAGCAGACAATAGGCAATACAACTCTTTCTGTTTGCATAGTAAAAGGGGAGGAAATTATGGAAGCAGGAGAGTAACTTCTCAAGAAATAAAGAAAAAAATCCTCTCAATGGAGCCAACCCCCGTCTCCTTCCTTTCTTAGAGGTCAAAATTATTTTCAGCTGCTTGCGACTGGAGGGATTTACATTAACCCTAAACTGCTCCGGTTCCTACTTGGCACCGCTGCCTGCGCCGAGCGGCGGCCTCATAAAATGCCAAGGGGTGCCCAAACTCTGACACATCATTTTCAAGCCCTCCCCAATCCCAAACAGTTTCTGTTTGTTGTGATTGGGAGCAGGTGGGCTTACTTGGTCCCATTCAACTGCATGCAACTGTTTGCCACTTTCTCCCTGTAGTACAGGGGGTGATTAGTGCCAGTCTGAATGCCCCTCTGTGAGTGTCAAAGTGTTAACACCATCTCTCCTCAGCTGAGAGCTTCACCAGAACTACTGTACATTGGCCGGTTGCATAAGCGCTCTTTGCAGCATCTTTTGCAGCTGGTGAGGCTTGCAGCTCAGCCCATTGGGGGCCAGAGAGGTGTAGTCACTCCAACCACAGATATACATCTTTGGGCCCCAGTTTTTGGTTGCAGTGCCAGGTGTTTAGTTTGGAGCAGAACCACAGTCCTGTGGTTTGCTGGCTGCTTGCACTGTAAACCTACATGTCCCACATGGTTACTGTAACCTCAACTATTCTCCTGCCACTGTCCTACCCGGGCACTGATGGCTTTTGACAGAGAGGCTACAGACCACAGCTACTAAAAGACAACATCTTAGATAGACAGACAACCAGATAGATAGATAGATAGATAGATAGAGTTGGGAATGTTGAAGCATATATGATAGTAACCATAGAGTGAACCTTGCCTTTTGGGCTTTTAAATCTAACTTTTTCAAATCAAAAGTCAATTGTTTTTGTTTTATATTCAGTTGTTACTCATCACCGGCACAACTCCAGTGATTTCAGAGGAGCCTCGGAGATGGAGCAGCAGCCCATAATTCATTTAGAACAAAAAACAATGCGTAATGTGCCGCCGCCTTGAGCGCGCATTGTCCTCTGTGAGAGAGGTTGAAACGGGGCAGGGTAAAAAAGACCCAGCAGGCTGTGCTTTTAAAAGACCCGAGGAGACTATAAAAAGTGGTTTCGTGCCCACTGTAAAGGCTGGAGTCGATATGCGCGCAGACAGGCGGAGGTAGGCAGAGCAGATAGAGGCTGGGACGCGCACAGTATTCAAGGGTTTATTCTCAGATGTCGGCGCTCGGTCACAGGTAGACGTAAACGAGACGCGGGGGTTTAAGGGGCGGCATTTTTTTTTCTTCAGTTGACTTGGGATTTTAAAGACAGGCTCTTTTACAAAAAATAAAAGACAGAAGTGCATGTTTGCTACTTTAGTAAATAGGATGCGTGTCTTCTCCAGCCGACCCGGTGCTGTTTGACACTTTCGCTCCCCCACTCCTCCTCCTCCTCCTTCCCCGAGCTGGATTCACTAACCGGTCTGTTTTCTAACCGGGGGGAAGTTGGGCTCATTTAAACTTTTTTTTCTGGCTGTACTTTTGATGCCACGGAAATGGGACTGCGCCAACGGGAGAGCGTGTCCGCGCTTAGCAGAAAAAGTTTGCTTTGGACCGGGCTGATACTCTGGTTGACCACGTCTGTTGACGGGACCTGGAGGACGGGACTTTACAAAACCTACTCAGCCGGGACGCAGCTGAGCCGAGACCAGACAGCAGCTTCTCACACCTCAGTCTACCAGAAAAGGTAAGAAAGGCATCCACACTACTACACCAAGACATGGGGAGTACTTTAACATACTGGGGCTGTGCGTTAATCCTCAATGATGTCCTATTATATGCGCATAACAACCTTTTTCTTGCCCCTAAAGTCTATTTCCAACCTTTCAGCACTTCACTTTTTTTGTATCTTCTTGTCAATGCACTTCTTTGCACTATCTCTGCAGAGCTACTCCCATCTCCATCCATCTACCAGGTCCTATTGTCTTCCTGACAGTTGGTTTCCTTTTTCCTGTGCTGGCAGCACACATTGCTCTGCTGACTGCCCATCCTCATTGTGTTGTCCCAGCTCACCCAGCTTCTCTCTGTGTGGCGTCCTGAGAGCGCCTCCAAGCCTCTAAGGTGTGTTGTGTGCCTGTTTTATGCCTGCAGCAGGAGATGTAGGAGCAGCAAGATCATCTGCTCCGTCTCAGCTGTCATGGTGCTCTTCAAAGCACCACATTTAGTCCCCAGATCTGTCCACATGAAGCCTGCTCCTATGTGGATGCCGGTGGTGAAGACAGGATGCATCAGTGAATGAGGGAGTGATTTTGTAGTAAAGCACTCAGTATTGATAGCTCAAGAAGAGGTTACTGAATGAAAAGAGGGGGATGAGATGTCATACAATGATTGAGTTGTTGGTGAGGGTGTTTTTTCTGAAGGAGAGTCACTAGACTAAACACACAGGCAAGAGCGCTAACCAGCTCCGCTTCCCTCCTGGACAGATCCAATGTTTAGCTCGGAGACTAACCGGTGCTTCATTATGAGAGGACATTTCCCATCTCACAAATATTTATGCTGTCAGGTTGCGAGTGTGTGTGTGTGTGTGTGTGTGTGTGTGTGTGTGTGTGTGTGGGCTGAACGTGACCGGAGGCTGAAACCCCCTTCTCTCTGATGGGGCCTTTTCTTCGGGGTGTGTCCAGGTGGCTTTCAGCACTCCCAGCCTCGCTCCACTGGCTCACCCCTCCACTCAGCTCCCCTGTCACTCATGGCCAGAGGTTTGGTGGACGTGTTTACTAAACACAAGCAGCTGGGACTCCACCGCATCTGGGCTTGTTCTGGGAAGAGCGGAGATGAGTTTACAGTCAGTTTTGCTGCTGTTTGTAAGTGGCAGCGGAGGACTGGAGGGGTAGATGGAGAGGAAGCTTCTTTTGGTGTGAGTCAGCCACCGGGTAGAGAGGTCAGCAGGTTTGAGGGGACATGAGAGGAGCTGAAAGTCTCAGCCCACCTGCTGTCTGGCCTGATCTGCCAGAGGAGCAGTTTATGGTGTGTCAACAAAGCCAAACAGTGGCAGTGGGATTTCAGAGAGCAGAGGACTCTCTCTCAACTTGACATTCAAATACAGCAACTTGTCATTGGGGTTCAGGAACTTATAAGGAAGTAAATATTAATTTTAGCAGAGTGGGAAAGGATTCTGTCACAGAAATAACTTTTACTAAGAATTTCTTCCCGTACCAGGCTGTCTTCACACAGTGATTACCCAAATCTAAGGGGATTATCAACTCTTGAGTAATTTCTTGACTGGTGCGGTCGCTCTGTAGAGGAGCTGATAAAGTGTTCGCTCACCCTTGTCTTTCTTAACGACTATATGAGCTCAGTACACTGAGGGGTTACGGAGGGAGCCGCTTCTTTATTTCTTGTCTCGCCCACTTCTTTATCCTCCCTCTGAGGACTTGTCATGGTCTGACAGGCCGTCTGAACCCTGTGGCCGCCCTCATTCCTTGCCCAACCATATCCAGGTTTTCTCCAGGCATGGGAATGAAGATGACAGAGATTCTGGTAGACTCTGTGTGGCGTCGAGCTGAATGGCTTTAGATGGGATCATTCAAAGAACTTCTAACAATGTATATGCTGACGGAAAATGTTTCATGGGTAATATTAGGCACATTAAAAATAATAATTGTTTGAGTTGCTTTCTAAGCAATAATTACTCCAAATTGATGTTTCCATCTTCTTAAATGTGAGGATTTGCTGCCTTTCTCTCTTTTGTATCATTGTAAACTGAAGGTCTTTGGTTTTTGACTAGCTGGACAAAATAAGACATCTTAAGACAACTAAATGGATGTCCTTATGTTTTATAGACCAAAGTATTAATCAAAGAAATAATCAGTAGATAAACTGACAATGAAACTAATCGTTAGTTGCAGCCCTACATTTCTTAAGAAAACAAAAAGCCTAAATAATCTGTTTCTCAAATCTACGATTGAAAACTGAATCTCTTTGGGTTTTGGTCTGTTAGTTGGACAAAACAAGACCAAGTCAGTTTTGGCTCAGTTCTACATGATGGACCATTCATGACTTGCTGTGTGGAGCCATAGCCAACTCTCTTCATGCTTCGAGCCTCAAACACTTGAAGACGCACGCACCTGTTAAACACAGAGACACCGTCAGCACTCACAGGTGTCCATGCTTGAAAGATCAAAACGGACAGAGACAAATGAGAGTTTTCCTCGTTCCTCTGAGGCTGCTGTGAAGAGTCACTTAGCTCTGACCTTCAAGACCTTGCTGTGGTGCTTTGATGATCTTCACTGTCCTCTGCACATGGAAAACACGCAGTGGCTTAGAACCTGCAATATGATAGACCACTAGCCCTAATACTCTCTATTGATTTATCATTTGATAATTCTTTAGATGCAAACTGAACATAACTCTTGTTTTTATTTTCTGTGACGGTTTGTCTTACACTACTCTCTTATAGTCTACTCTCTGGTTTTCCCAGAAGCTGCAGATTATTACTCCAGGAATGTCTTATCCCTCTCTACTCATTAATGTCACTGTGGCTGTACTCTCTAGTTCTCTCTTTGCCATTTGTCATTGCACCACATTTATCTTACGCCACTTCTACAACCCGTGGGACCAACAGTGCTTTATAATAGTCTTTCGTTCCACCGTTTTATTCCCATCGGAAGCTCCCTTGTGTGACCCTTATGATAAAATGACCTTTGTCTCCTCTCCTCTCCTCTGGCTGTTTGCCACATCTGTCTTTTGTCCTTTGTTCTCCCCAAGTATTTTTCCCACAGACAGAAATCTAGTGAAATTCCTTTAGATTTGTATCCACGCCGCAATTCAATCATATCTTTGAGTGGTCTGCCCTCCTCCTCCCACAGTACGAGAATGGATGGGTGGATGGAGAGGGAGTTACCCAGACCTTTGTCACCAGCGTCTCACCAGCGTTTTGCCCTTATCAACCCTCTCGTCAGGTCACATGGCCTAAGTCCCAGTGCCTAAACTCAGCACAGTAACAAGAATACAGCGTATAAGCTTATTTGACAAGTTCATGAGCTCTCTGTCAGCATTTGCATTCATTTAGGGTTCAGCAAGTTTTTGTTTCCCTCCAATGTTTTACTGTCTTGGCATCTGTAGCGTTGAGGAACAGATGGACCAAAGCTGTGATTCTTCTGTCCCTTAAAAATAGTGGATTTCTTTCTTTACTATTGGCTGTGGCTGTGTGTGACTGTAGAGAGATGGTTGATGATTTATTTAGCTTGGGCCCGACATTCAGAGTGTACCATGTGTGCTTGGAGACCTGATACTCACTGAGGGCCTGCTTGGTGCTTTTGCCAGTGAAACAGCATGGTGCTGGTGGGTTTCACACTTCATAACACAAGGGCGCCTCCAGTAAGAGGAAGGTGTTGACTATGAAACATTTTAGAGTGAAAGACTGAGTGCACCAAGCACCTGTGTCCCTTTATGAATAAGGCCAGAAAATTCAATGGTCCATTGTGTAGTAGTTCTCTGCAACTAAAAGAGGAAAGTTATTTGCTTTTGGGCTTGTGAGTAAGACAGCTTTTAAGTTTTTATTCCTTTACATCCCAGAAGAGATAATAATTTTACCATAACCCAGTTAATACAATTATCTTCTGGCATCAAAGGAGTATACCCTCATATCGTTCCTGCTGCCATGTACTTATTATGTATTGTGTGAATCAGTTTTAGCAAGTTATTATAGGTAATGCAGGATTTGGTTTCAAGCCATTTGGGAAATTGCAAACTCTGTTATGCCAACTGCTTTTGTTATTTCATTCTCTGAAGCTGCAGCGGTTGGCATTTCCTCTTTGGTAATTGCATAAGTGCAATGCAAAGAGAGAAGGGGAGACCATAAAACCTACCCCCACTTCCCGCCTTGTACCCCCTGGTGACAATCCTAGCTGTTCCCAGGTGAAACCTCCCCTCAGCCTGGGAAACTCAGATGTTTATCTGTTGGGTCTGGAGGATAAGTGGTGAGGAGGAGTTAGGGTTAGTACCCCCCCTCCTCTCACTCCCAGCTCTACCTGACCACAGCTCCTTCAATGTCTGAAATTTTCCACCGATGATTAGAGCAATTTTTTTCTGGACAAGGGAAAGCAATCATGGGGTAATCATATAGATCCAGGTTCATTTTAGTAGCCTCACGGCTGATGAATACGCTGAGATACATGAAGGGTGGGCCTGTATTTAAATAACATGTGTGGCAGATTAATTCCTTACTCGCTTTGCCTGAGTTTAGGGTTAATTCTAACTGTGTCTTACTTTTGCACAGTTCATTTTACTTTTATAGTCTTACTTTTATACTTAGAATAGTCTGGAATATGTTGTCTCAGACTCACATTTGTAACTTAATCTGCCAAAGTAACGTTTTTCAAAATGAAGCAAAGAATACATAGATAGAATAGGCGGGGGAAAAAAACAAGCGTAATCAATAATAACCAATCATATGTGGAAAAAAGTATGTCTGCAGTAGCAGACATTTCTCCGAGGTGCCTCTGCTGGCTGGCTCAGGTCTGTGTGCGGCCACCACAACATGTGGGGATTGTTAATGGGAGCTGGTTCAGGGCTGCTTCGCATCCTCCGCCTTTGGCAGTTTTCTTTGGTGTAAACCGTCTCTCACACACACAAACATATGGTCTCACATATTGACAAACAGACTTTGGTGGGAACACCCCCCCACTCTTGCAAATACATTGGCAGCCGAACACACAAAGTGTAGTTTTGTGCTACGAGCCACACAGTCTCCTTTGTGGTATCCACATAGAGCCCCCTTTCTATACATCTATTGATTGTGTAAACACAGGCTATAGTAATCCTTCTACTTGTTTCTCCTCCAGCTCTGGCCATATGACGGTAATCAGGGTATTTGTACACTTCATTGTTAATAAAATAATAGTAACATATGGTGGCTCAAACAGCCCCAGTGTGTTTTCCATACATTAAAGTCGAGTAACCACTGCAGTGCTTTCTTTATTTGGTAAGTAAAGGGATGAGATGAAACTGGCCTCTCAAGCTTAACTTCTCTCATTGCCCCTGCACTATCAAGAACAGATATCTACTCCCGTTAGGAGAGTAATTGAGCTCTCAGCGAGGATTACACAAAAGCAATTAGCTCTCAAATGAATTACCCTTTACATAATTTGGTGCTTTTAGTCTAATGGTGGTATTGAGTGCTATAACTTGACTCTTTTACTGAGTGAAAATATTTGATTTTGCTTCTAGAGGCCTAAGAAATTACTTGGAGGTGAATGTAAGCGAGTGCACTTGACTCAGCTTGCTCCAAGTGATCATATCAGATCTTAACCTCTGACCTTTACACACTTTTCCCCCTAGTAGGTCTTAACAGCCTCAGTGAATCCAGAAAATGTCTTACGCAGCTTCTTTGAAAAGGGAGTGGACTCATGACCCAGCATTAACCTGTGCTGAAAAAATCTAATCTCCGTATGGGACCTTGTCTTCCTCTTTATTCCCTCCTGAGGGACTTTACCTCCTCCGAGAGGCGAATGCAAACGGATGTGTATTGATAGAGGAGGGACTACAGTGTAAATACGGCCCACAATGCAAATCTCGTGGCTGATTAAAACCGTGTAAACACCATAAAGGAGTTTCAAAACAAAAGGGTGGGGGAAGGGAGTGAAGAATCTAAAACCCGCGGGAAGACAACAGAGTATTGAATGTGACTGCTTGGCTAATTTGTGCACGATACTGTGAGTGCACTTGTTTGAAGGAGTTGCGAAAACATACACTATTCTTTCTCTGTGAATTGTTTAGAAAAGTGTTTTTCTTCTGTATCTGAAAACAGTAACTTTAATTCTCCAATTCTGACTCTCTCTCACTCTGTTTGTCCCTTCAGGAACTGGTGTCCTCATACGGTCACTAAGACAGTGACTTGCCAGGTGCAGAATGGGACAATCCTCCAGCGGGTCTACCAGACATGCCGCTGGCCACAGGGATGTACGGGAGGCAGGTGAGAAGGCGAAAGGACTTTACTGTTCCTGCTAAGGCTGAACCACTGACATGTGAACCATTAAAGAGAAGACCCCACTTTAAAATGATTAAAACAGCTACTGTGGAAGTACCATCTCTGTTGGTATTTTGTTCCTTTTCCATTAACTATAGTTGAGTTTAATAGCAGAATAACTCAGGGAGGTTTTTTAGTTTCAGCATTTGTTACTTCAGCTTATGCCATGTTCAAGTCACATTGTTTAGACCAGTGCCTCTTAACCTGGGGGAAAATATTTAAGTTTCAATATTATTTAATTGACTAGAAGTTAACCCAATGAGAGAATGTATAAGGATGACTATTAAATATATATAGACAGTTCTATAATAACTAAATCAGACAGAGATCAATGAGACTACATTTTTATCAAATATGGGTCCGTGGCCTGATGTGTATCAATTTGGGAGTCCTTGACACCAAAACGGTTGAGAACCACTGGTTAGACCACACTTAGAGGCGTGCGAGTTGGAAAAATCTCCCATCTAGCTCAAATAAACTACAGCTCTGTCAACAAACCATTGGCAAAATCGCTACAGTTCATTTAAGAGGAGCTGTACAGTTTGTTTCTATCTGGTTTCTCTTATTAATGAATCGCCCTAAATGTGTGTACTGTGTGGGAATAACGGCAGGTTTTCTTGTTCTTCCCATTCTTCCACCAGTGAGTGAATGCGGTAGGAAATCTATTATTATTATTATTAGACAAAGCAGTTTCTCCACCCAAAATAATTCACAATAGATGAAAATGCAGTGCAGCTAATGTTGTTGTTAGGAACACCTGAAATATTTCATACAAGTTCACACCTGTTCCTGGGTAGACAAAGGAGAAACTAATAAAATAACTTAAACGCACAGTAGATCATTTTCTGTCACTAGTGGGTGTCTCACATTAAAACAATAACAAAAGATTAGTAGTTTTATGACAACGTGAAGTAGCACGGGATCATGGGACTTGGGAAACAACCACCATTGCCAATGAATGAGTGAGTCAGGCAGACATTTTTTTCAAGGAAGAAGTAATGTATTAAAGTTTTATTCATATTATGTTCTCTGACATATTCCAAGAGGGGGTAAAGGGGATACGACGCCATTGACAGGCAGCCAAATGAATTGTGTCTCTACCTAGACTAAAAGGGATTTCTCTGGGTTTGAACATCAGCAACTCACTGAATGTATTTTTTCCCTTTCATTTTGCTTCACAAAGCCCCTCAGATCACACGCCACAAGGGAAAGTGGGTTGTTACAGTCATATTGTTACCTGTGTGGCTTTAGGTTTTGTGTGTGTTCTTCAGCTACAGGACCGTGGTCAGACCTTCCTATAAAGTGGTGTACCGCACTGTGACCTCTCTGGAGTGGAAATGCTGTCCAGGATTCAGTGGCGCTGCCTGTGAAGAAGGTCAGTCGAGACAGAAGGACTCACACACACATGCACACTTTAGTTATAAAGCAATTCAGGCTCTCGGAGGGGGCCAACGTCACAATCTACGACTGAGAAATGGTTTAATGTTCTGTCTGTTTTCTCTTTCTCAGCTGCCTTTTTCCTTTACCTGCCTCTCTGTTTCCTTCTATTTATCATTTTTTATCTCTTCAAGCTCACTCATTTATCACCAACTGCATCCCTCTGTTTTGAGTTCTAGGCTGTGTATGTGCTTTCCAATACACGTGTACGAGCAATACTTTAAAACAGGAGTGATTTCCATTAGGCTTACATAAGGCTGCTTCTGTCCTCTAAATGAAGTTCAGAAATAAGATCCCTCAGCCTCCTCAGGGTGAGTCAGATACCTCCACTTTATTAATCAGTTTTAATGTGCTCATTCTGAGAGTCATTGTGCTACGTAAGGGTTGATTCTTTTGTGTGGTTTTGAGTTTTATGGTCCAGCTGGAACCAAGTCTTCATCCTCTTGGAGTGCCATGCTAGCTGCTGTTTTCATTTTTCGACTACAGTAGCTGCCCACCACACACACACTCACTCACACACACACACACACACACACACACACACACACACACACACACACACACACACACACACACACACACAAACACACACCCACACACACACACACACACACTTCCAGTGTATAATGACTTCCCCTGGCACTGGCCCCCGTGTCTCTGCAGTCTGAGGAGAAGGGTGGAGCGACTGTTTATGCCGGGACCCAGGACTTGACTGGGTGTAACATAAATCGTCAGGCTTTCTGACACAAAGGACAATAAATGTTTACAGTGGTTAAAGTGGTCACTTTTTTGTGGTGGTAAAAGCAGAGGCTGTTTTTCTCTTTTATGCTCCTACTCCCAGGTGAAATAAGAACTCCCAGCCTTCCCTGTGGCGTGTAGTCTGCTGCAGTGTGGCTTCAACTGGAGTCGTTTCTCCGCTTTTCCGGCTTGCTTACACATGGCACACATCAAAACTTCCTGAATGTCATGCTTGTTTTAAACCTTCCCCACTCTCAAAGTCAAAAAACACATTCAGACAACCCAAACTTTACTTAACAAAAGCAGAGGAACACACAGTCAAACAGGGAGGAAATTATCCAATTAAGTTGTTGCTGCAGGAGATTCCCCTCCCGTTGTCATGGCAGTAGGGGGCTGTCGAGCCAGCGGGGATGCTGGGATTAGCCACTTATCTGAGCGTCGTTCCGGGTGGCTCAGATCACAGGCGGCGCTGAGTGGAAGTGACAGGTCCCATTCACAGGGCCTTTACTCTCCGGCACTATGGATGCTATCCAGGGCCACCGGTGCTTTGTTCTGCTCCTGCCGCGTGAGCAGAACCTCTTGCCAGCGCAGAACCTGATACCCTGCTGCTGTCTGCCTCATTCGCTGCTTTAAGGAGAAATAAAAGCTTGCCACACGGGCAAAGCTGGAGGCCGGATTGTGCTTAAATCTGTTGCCATAGTGTTGCCAAGTGAAAGTTAAAGCTGCACTCGTAGTTCAGTGGGTGCAAGTTTCAAATCCAGGCTCTATAATACCTGTGTGTGGCTCCATCTGCAAATCTCCATACATTTCTTTGTGTATTTCCAGACGGCTGTGAGCACTTCTTTGACCTTGAGTTGGGTGGAAAAGAACAAACAACTATCAGCCTGCTGCACTTTTCTACTGTCTAGGGCAGACATTAAAAACATATTGCTCTTGATCTCATAAATCTCATAAACAGCTAACACCGGATACATATATCTTTAAAGACCTCTTTTGGAGTTCCAATGTTGCTCATATACCTTTGCTCCCGTCATCCCTTTTCCTCTGCCTGTCTGCTTTCACAGACTGTGGAAAATGTGTATGATCCGCTCATTTACTCACGCTGCCCTGCTTGTAACTCTACTGTTCTCTCACCAGGCCACCCCAAAAGCCCCTGGCCACGTCTGACTCCCAAGGCCGGTCTGCATTACAGCAGATCTCAACAATGTCCATACCAGCAGGACTCTGGGGCCGGGGCTGCTTAAAGGTGAAAGAGAGGAGAGGAAGCGCATTATAGGCTGAGAGCACGGTCATTGATATGGTTATATTTCAAATGTAGATGAGAGAGTTGTTTTCTCTTGTGTCCCTCCGTTCTCACCCGCTCGGCCTGCCAGTCGATTGGTTAACATACGTAAATCAACAAGTCCAGCCTAAAGTAAAGATAACGTGTCTCTGTTTAAGTTTTGGGTTGTGCATATCCAAAAGCAATGCAGAGAGCAGAGATAGATGAGAGAATATTATGGGAAGAGTTCACGCCAAATGCTGTCATTCAGTCATACACAGGCTTGCGAGCATTTTTGGCCTATCGTGTTCAAACTGAGGGCTCCAAAAGCAAAACATTACATCACACCTAGGCTGATAAACAAACGTACTCCATCAGAGTCCAAGCAGAGTAAGATAACACTGCATCAGACAGGCACCTTTCACATTCGTTCTCTTTTTCTTAACCTCAAGACTTGGCTGGAATTCTAGGCCAGTGGTGTAATTACTAGGGCCTAATTGTTTTCTATGAGGTTTGGGAGATATTGTCTTACTTCTGGACCTGGAGCACAATGGTCTTTATCTCTGATTGAGCTTGAAAAAAAAAAAGGCTAAGTATTTGCAGATGGAGGCACTTTCATAGCCTGCCAGAAACAGGGATTTAATGTATGCCTGGTTGGCTTTGCCATTCCAAGTAAGTAAATGCTTGTTTTCAGATGGGATATCCCAACTTATGCTACATCAAACACAAATATCCAAATTATACCTCATTTAGAGGCAATTTTGTGATACGAGGATATCAAATGTAACCCATAAAAGCAACATTATTACATTAGAGCTCGCTGTAAAAGATTATCTCATACAGGTTGCATCAGCGTCAACATACAGCACAGCGATGAAGGGTGTTGGCTCACTCAGCAGCCATGGAAACCTGTAAAATTCATAGGTATTTGGGACTTTTACCGTCTATCAGCTCATTTTGATGGAGCCTCAAAAGTGTGAAGATGACACAAAGAGGCAGCAGTTGATATCTTGACCTGATTTGATTTATGGATGACAGCACTTGAAAAGAAATATGGCTGCAGCTTATCGCAGGAGGGGGCCGCCGTGCAGCAAAACATATAGGGGGGACGTAGACTTGAATTAGCACGGCTGTCAAATGGGGGTCCCCATCAAGCCGTATCTCGCAGCCAAGCGGGGGCTGCGGTTTTTGGGTCGTAATTACAGTATGGCTGGGAGGCAGAGGCGCGCTGTCTGTAATAAGCCGCAGAAATGTAATCTGTGTTTTCACAGCTCAGCGCAGCTTATCACAGGCCTCCACGCTAAACCCTGCGCTTTAAACATCAGTCGGCTGCAGCTTGCCATTAGCAAAGGAAGAGTGGGAGTGCGTGGACGCCGGTATATGTGTCTGTCTGCTTGCCAGAGTGAATGTGTGGGTGGGAGAGCGAGGTGTTGAGGATTTGTACAGTGAAGGATGCAGCTGTTCAGCGTGATTAGCTGCTTTAATGGCAGCAGGCTTTAGGAGCTGTGAGTGGAGCGACCCAAGCCAGAGGTCAGAGGGGAGGGAGCTGAACAAGAGCAGGTGACCTCCCACTCCCACTCCTCTTAGACCACACAGAGCAGCACTATCAAAGTCTGACAAAACATAGTCACCTTTTCATTTAGGCTTCCTATTTTCTTTCAGTCACATTCCTCGTTATTCTCTCTTACTCTAATTCATTCATTTAAAAAAAAAGAAAGAGATTTGTATACAGTCATGAGAAGAGCTCTAAAAAGACACATAAATTGCATACATACAAGAAGACAGGCTGCAGCCAGCATACAGAAAAAGGGCCACAGCAGCTGATATTCATAGTTATGTAAATTGCCAGCACAGCACAAGTGCTGAGCCCAAATTGGAAGCAGCTGAAGTGAAGGCGAACTGGGCTGAAGGCCCCAGATGAGATTAGACATGGGAGCGTCCAGGCCTTTCAGCCCACACTACTCTGCTCAGGGGAATTGTCATAATAGTCATTAATTAACAAACACCACTGAAAATGCCGACCAGCCAACCAAAAATGAACTAAACCAAACAGTGGAGGGAAGTTTTCTCTCTTCTCCTCTCCTGTCTGCCTCTCTTTCCATACTGTCTTCTTCTTATGTAAGTGTGTGTGTGTGTGTGTGTGTGTGTGTGTGTGTGTGTGTGTGTGTGTGTCTTGGTATGTGCATAAGGTTTATAAAAAAATCCCCAAAATCATACTTCATACATGGGTTCAGGTATTTCAATTGGAATATATACTAGTAATTATGATAATATTATTATGACATGATTTTGAAATGTTCCATGCAAACCACATACAGAGAACATACTGTACAGCACAATCCTCTCAGGCTGTGGAATAATAATGATAGAGTCATGTCATAAGAATTATAATTATGACTCCTTATGTCTGCATGGTTCATGTTTGACTGTAATAGTGTAAGGCAAAAGACTTAGCAATATAATTCTCTAGTACAACCGGGTTGATTCAGACTTAAGAGATGATTATAGATTGTATTTATTATAATATCTATATGATTTTTTTCATATCTTTTCTGTACTGTGTGTTTTTCTGGACCACATAATACTTAACGCTCCATTTGTTTACCTGCGTTTTTTGGTGTCTTGTCTGTTCTTCAGTCTAAAATAAATATCAGTGAACTTCAAGAAAGAAATACAGATGCACAACTCTTTAGCTGAATCTTTTTTAAAGTTTCATACATACTTAGCCTTGATTCTGAGTTAAGGTTTATGTATCTGGCTCCTGGACTGGAAATGCCTCTTCTGCTTACTGATTTATTTATTATTTCCCAAGACATCCCCTGGGAGTGCATTGAAAACTGTTTTTCCTGCAGTCAGAAAGAAATAAAGTGGGCCGAGTCAGCAGTGCTAAAAAACTTTTAGGGATGAAAATAGACACACACGCACACACACACACACAC